CCATTGACTGTATGTATAAAGGGTTTAACATGCTAAACTGTAAACCCAGAGAAACACCCTGTGATCAAAGACTTGACTAAACAGAAAATGCAGTGAACATGGATGATGTCAGGAAGCACAGAGAGGAGAGAACCTATAAGCTGCAGGTCTCTCTTGAAAAAGAGATCTATGATCTCAATGGGACCAATCTGGTTAAATAAAGGTTTGAAATGAAAGAAATGAAAAGAAGACCTAGGTAATATCACTCAAACCCTCAGAGCAGCACCCCACTTAATGCCAACATATGACTGGCTGGCTGTACAAGTACACGAGGAGTTCTGTTGGTCACAAAGATCGAGAGTTACAAAAGTAAAATATGTAGTGAAATTGTGTGGTTGCTCAAAGGTGGGGCTGTGATACGGCTATACACCGCCGCCGCGTAGTAATAAAGTTGAGCGCATACATAGTGAGGCCTACAGTCCAGAGAGCTACAGTCATTTGACCCAATGGAAAAGCTGTGTTATTTATGGTGAAGAGTGAGAGTCATTTAAAACAATGTATGATGAGAGAGGTCGTGCCGGAAAAAACTAAAATGAAAAGATTATTATTTATTTTTTTATCTTGTCACTGAGGGCCCTCTTTGCTCAAGGGCCCCTGGGCACTTGCCCAGGTTGCCCATATGGTTAATCCGGCCTTGCCTGGGTGCAGGCACAGATGGAGGTTCTTGCTGCTAGGCCCAGGCAGCTGTGAAATCGGAAAGAAATATAGGACAATAATTACTACTAAGTTCATTAAAATAAAGTTCAAGTGGAATGTTTCTCAAGCACAAATAACAATGCACAACTCAAAATAAAATGGGGAGGTGGGACAGGAGTCTCTCTCTCTCTCTCTCTCTCTCTCTCTCTCACACCCACACAATGAAAGTACACTATTACTGCAATATTTACATTTACATATCTTCAAATGGTTCCGTGTTGTTGTTGTTGTTGTTGTTGTTTTGTTGTTGTTGTTGTTGCTGTATTCTCCAGGTTCTGATGCTCCGTCTCCACTGCTGCTAGTGTTACAAGTCCTCTGTGCAGAGCTGGTAATCAGATAATAAGCCTGTTGATCAGGAGAAAAGAATGAAGCAGAGGGAAAGTTGCTGCCGTTTGTCTGGTTGTCCTAGCCAGAATGTATTAAACACATTAATAAATTATTACAAATTATATCCGTTTTCTCTATTTATCTAATCATTCTCTGGTTTCACGCCACATGTATCTCTGCGTTGTGTTGTGTGGTCGAATGAATATGACTTCCTTCTTGGCAACCAGGTTTATTATCTGTGCAAACAGAATATAAGGAAATGGCTTCACCAGCTTTCTACCTCAATACTTCTCCTCAGTGAGGCCTGAAGCTAACTGAGAATGTAAAAATAATATAACATGTTCCACCTAAATTGTTTAAATGTTGTTGCAAATATTTAGCCTTAACGTAAACTGAAGGAACCAAGCACTGGCTCCACTGTTAGCTAAACCGCTAGCTTTAGCTCAAACATGATGATAGTTGGTTGCTTGCGGGTTGAAGCCTACTCTCTTGGTTTAATATTGTCACTATGTGTTAAAGTTATTCCTGTTGTGTTCTGGCGTAGCTGCTCATGACCCAGTTAGCGCAAAACTAATGCGCTAACTGGGTCATGTTAAGGCTACTATCATTATGAGTACATAGCTTGTCACCAAACTGCACACATTTGTTTGGTACTATTTCAGCGTGTGTGTGTGAACGGTTTAATGTAGTGTCGCCGCCGCTGCGTCGAGTGTAATCCTAAAGACGAGCAGAGAGGGGGCATGATGCATCCGGCTGACGAACATAGAACTTAACCTCGCTGTGCGGGAGATGCAGTTATATCATTTGTTGTGCCGGTCGCCTCGATGGCGGGACTCCCTTCTTGTTTATGCTGGAAGTGATGCGGCGTTGATAAGCCTCACATTTATAGTAGCTCGTGGTCAAAGCGTTATCCAGCTCTGTGTTGCTATGCTAACGTGCTAATAAGAAGCCCTGTAGTGTAATTTGCTGTTGCTGATAAGACCCTTACTACGTTCAGGGTGACGTGACTGTGAAAGCTTCAGGGTGATAATACGTGACTGTGAAAGCTTAACAACGATTAGAAATGTCCCCCCTAATACAGTATACACATGTATTTCTTTCCTAAGACAGTATACACATGTATTTCTTTCCTAAGACAGTATACACATGTATTTCTTTCCTAAGACAGTATACACATGTATTTCTTTCCTAATACAGTATACACATGTATTTCTTTTTCTTCTCATGATTTCTCATGCCTGACCGGTGGTGGTTTCTTCAGGCTTTGACACATCGTATTGGACTACTACCTAAGGTACGTGAAGCTCCTGTGAGGGATACAGAGAGTACTTTGATGTTGCTGTGTGTTCTGAACGTGCAGGAGGTGATTATAGGAGTTATTCATTTTAGAGTTCAGCCAAAGCTAAGATACAAATGATTTTTTACCTACAGAGATAGTCCCAGTAAAGTGTGGGATGGTCTTGATCTATGGGTTTCTGGCAGGACTCCCAGAGTTTAGGGAAATCCTCCAAATGGTGACAAGTTGATCTTGATTGTGAGAAAGCTCAGTGGATGGTACATTGAACATTATAGAGCTTATGATCTCCAAACGTCACCAGGCAAGGAGGTGGAACTTCTTGAGCACCAAGATGATCCCCACCCACTGGCAGACTCCGAGGGATGCGTCTTGTCACATTGAAAAGATATGTCCATGTTTAAAGGGTGAGGAAGCGAAAAGTGATATTTCATTCGGTGGAAAGAGAAATAATTGATAACTATTGTTTTCTCAGAACAGATTTATTTCATACCAGTGTTTTCTTTAGTTTTCAAAGGTTTTATTTATCATTTCACCAGAAAATAATCACACTAGTTAAATATCAGAACATAATTTGTGAGAAAGCTCAAACAGTGTGCGGGCTTTTGTTGAGTGGTCAGAGCTTTAGTGCTTCACCTGCAGAACAACAATATATTAGTTTTTTATGACTTCCTATACATATTTGTTATTGGTGCAAGACTAACTATCAACCCTTTGGAGATTTCAAATGATAACATTCAATTTTTTTGCACATACAAGTTGTCAACTGCAGATTTCATTTATTGAAAAGGAACCTAACATTGAGGGTAAGGGTGGGCATTATGTCATTTTTTAAATATGTGCTGATGGAGTCCAGTCAAGAAAAGGGATTCACACCAAGTTGTAGTCCTTTTACTGAAAACTGATAACACATCTATAAGGTGATACATGAGCAGTGTGAATAATAAGGAATTATGTTTAATGTGCCTTTCTTAAAACGTATTGTGCTTGTGTTGTCTTCTCAGACTGCCATGGCTGATTCAACGCCTGCAAGACTGAAAGTGATTTTGGGGGAGAACAACATTGAAAAACTGTCTCTTCCAAATGGCATACCGGAATCATTGGATGACCTTCTCAGCAAGTTAAAGACTTTCTTTGGGTTAAAGGGCGACGTCAGACTGCAGTACATGGACCAAGACTTTGGCAACGACTTCTTCAATCTGAATTCCACCACTCAACTTCAGGATTTGGGAACAATCAAAGTGATCCACCAGCAAACAAATACACCTTTGAACATTGCCACTGATACCACATCATCATCTTCACTTGAGTGTGATGGCAATGTTTCTTTGGCATCAGATGACACAATAATCCTCTCATTCCCCGAATCTGTGTCCTCTCGAGCCAAACAGTGGCCAGCGGACTTTCCGATTCCTCAATTTTCATATGACACGGAGCTGCAGCTAGTGAAAGGGAATTCTGAGTTTAATGGAAGCCACAAAATGTTGACTGTCAGCTCCCGAAGCAAGTCTGATATTCTGAATAGACTTGCAGAAACAATTTCTGGATACAAGGCCTATCCAGATGATTCACATTTCTGCACAGTAGCAGAGGCTCTTATCAAAAAGCATCCTTGTTTGAAAGAACCTGGCTCATTCAATGGCTGCAATGGATGGAAACAGCGCCTGAAATATAAGATGGGGAAACTACAGGACTCAGCTCAAATTGCAGGGGTGCCCAGAGCTGGTGGTAAATTCCCTGAAATCTAAAGCTGCTACAGATGCTTTCCCTGCTAAAAAAGTCAAGAGGCCAAAGCGAGCTGAGGCTAACTTTTATCCATCCTTCCCCACCGGTGCCAATCTGGAGAGAATAGAACTTCTGACAGACATCAGGAACACTAATAGGGTCAGACACACGTTCGCCTACAGACGACAGGAGGGGGTAAACCAAGAGCCAGGAATCAAGGACTTCAAAGACAGGTGGCCGGCACTGCTCCAACAAAGAGAGTCTCGTCTGTAAGCTTTGATCCATTCATCATAATGTGGTGTGGTAAAGTTTATGTTTAACCGTGTTTACTGACAGAATTTACATTTTTAGTTTGTTATACTTTTTGCCAGTTTAGTTTTTTTTCTTCGAGCGTGTAAAACCAAAGAAAATACAAATGAAACAAAAGGTGATACAGTGCTATACAAATGAATGCAATAACGAAACATTTAATTAATAATTGAATAATCTGTAGTGTCATTGTCTGGTATCAAGAAACAACAAAGCTTTAGCTTACACGTCCGAAAAGGGGTCGGAAGAAGTTTCCACTTGCTTCAATGGTTCTTTTTTTAAATGATAATTTGCATACAGACTGAGTTCAATTGAATCTTTATGAATTTACTCACTGTCATTTTTGTATTATTCTTTCATAGATCAATGCAGAGTTCCAGAGGATAATGACCATTCCTCTTTGAGGAGAAGTTCCAAGGCCCAGTTGGACATTCACTCAAGTCAGCTAATCACAGTCATCTGTGCCAAAAGGAGGATCAACACGTCAAAAGACTGCTGACATCATGGACATTTTTGACCAGGTAAATCTGCATTG